TGTTGTTGTTGTTGTTTTACTAATTGCCATTGTTGTTGTTGTTGTTGTTGTTGTTGTTGTTGTTGTTGTTGTTGCTGTTGTTGTTGTTGTTGCTGTTGTTGTTGTTGTTGTTGTTGTTTTACTAATTGCCATTGTTGTTGTTGTTGTTGTTGTTGTTGTTTTACTAATTGCCATTGTTGTTGTTGTTGTTGCTGCTATTGTTGTTGTTATTTTACTAATTGCTATTTTCGTTGTTGTTGTTGTTGTTTGTTGCTGTGGTTGTTGTTGTTGTTGTTGTTGCTGTTGTGGTTGTTGCTGCTGCTGCTATTGTTGTTGTTGTTATTTTTCTGATTGCCATTGTTGTTGTTGTTGTTGTTGTTGTTATACTAATTGCTATTTTCGTTGTTGTTGTTGTTTTATTACTGTTATTATTATAGCAAATGCTATTCATGTTGTTTTTGTTTTGTTGTTATTGTTATACTAATTGCTGTTGTTGTTGGTTATTGGCGGGTGCTCTGGTGTGGTTTGCTCCTTCTTTCCTATCAAACATCTACTGTACTTTTCTCCCCTCCTTCTTTTTTATGTTTGTTACTCTCTTGTGTCACCTCTAATTTCTCCCCCCAGGGCGGTGCCACTGACTGTAGTGTCTTTAGGCCATTCCCAAAGGGGGGGGGGGGAACATTTCTTTTTCAAGCATTGTAGAATTGTAAATGGGCTGACTCATGTCACGCTCATAACTGTGCCTGATCTACAACAGGGAACTGCTGCTTTTTCTTTCCTGATCCTTACTATTGTCATTATCTTTTGTATGTTTGTCACTCTCTTGTGACCTGCTATTTTGGGGTGCCTTGATAGTCGAAGCAGACCTTGTGCTGTTGAAACTAGAGAGGTGAGCATTTTAAGTCTGATTCCCTCTAAAGACTTCTCTTTTGACACCCACCCTTTGGCGCTCATATGACCTTCTGCAGTTGCGAGCGCTGTAAAACCCTCTACTATTAAAATTATTAAAAATTACCTCTAATTTTCTGGCGCTCATATGACCTTATGCAGTTGTTGCGAGCGCCGTAAAACCTCTACTAAAACTAAAACTAAGCTGTTGTTGTTGTTTATTATTGTACATGTTGTTTTGTTGCTGCTGTTGGGGTTGTTTTGATTTTGTTGCTGTTGTTATTATGCTTCTTGCTATTGCTGTTGTCGTTATCCATGTTATCTTTATCGTTGTTCATCATAAAATAAGCAACAAACCCCCCCCCCCCGCGAAGAAAAAAAAGAACCAAAAAGAAAATCAAGCTAAGTCATAGGATTAATGCGACGCATCCTGTTCTTCACTCGACACTCGACCCCCTCCCCTTCAACTGTCCCCAGAATTTGTGTACGTCTCGCACTCGACAGACCAGCCGGAGGTGGACAGTTTGAGCGGCAGCCTGTACGGGGAGGAGGATCAGGTGGTGCGTCGATGGACGTACCAGTCCCAGCAGGCCCTGGACGGTGCGAGAGAGCACATCATGTCTGTGCTCACCGCCCTCTGTCGACTGCTGGCCTTCCGGGTAGGTTTTTGGGGTCTTTTTTTGGTCTTTTTTGGGGGGTCTTTTTTTCTTCTTTCTTCTTCTTGTGTTTGATTTTTTGTTTTTAACTTTTTTCTTTTTTCTTATTCTTCTGTTTGTTTTGTTTTTTGTTTTGTTTTTTGGGGGGGGGGTTGTTTTGTTTTTTTCTTCTTGTGTTTGATTTTTTCTTTTTTGTTCTTTTTTTATGTGGGTGGTTGGCGGGTGCTCTGGTGTGGTTTGCTTCTTCTTTCCTATCGAATGTCTATCATCTTTTATCTCCCCTCTTTCTTTTTTGTGTTGTGTTTGTTACTATCTTGTAACACCTCTAGTCTTCCGCACTTATATGACCTTATTGTGTTGGGCTTATCTGACCTTATTGTGTTGTAAGTGCCGTAAAACACTAAAACAAACAAAGTGTTTGTTCGTGGCCTATACCCTGGTGCAGGGTGAGAAAGGCAATGATGATGGTGATGGTGATGATGATGATGATGATGACCTCTCTCCTTCGACAGCTGAACCTGTTTGTGGGCGATGGCCTCCCCTTGCTGCTCCAACTGAAGCAACCCGAGGCCAGTCTTCCGTCGTGCCTGGCACCCATCACCACCTTCCTGCAGCGTTACCTGGACTCTCTGAGTACCTGGCTGTACCAGCACTGCTTCACGCGCGTGCTCCACAACCTCTGGATCTTCATGGTGCAGGTAAAAAAGATTGTTAACCCTTTATCTCTTGAGGGGGGTTAAACCCACTATGCCGGGGCCCTTTTTTAGTGCTAAATCTAAAAATGCTGAAAACGTCATTAAATGGGTCATTAAATCAAAACTAGCAAACCTCTTTTGATAGTTCTTCATCTAATGAAGGAACTTCTGATGTAAGAGACCTGTTTTCGGCTGTTGCCGAAAAGTAATTTGATGTCCAAGTCGTCGTAAAGGAAATGGGCCGGAGCTGGTGTCCGCTGCTCACCGGCACAGTGGTTCTGA